CAGAAGATAGCTCACCACCTCCTTTTCTGCGCATGTCCCTGTGTATTTTCTCCACTCTAGAGTTTGAAGAGTCGAAAGCAAACATGTAGGAACAGAACTAGGCAGCTTCCAGCAATCCATGGATGTGTGTATCTGAGACGAGTAGAAACAGTGTTAGTGTATGTATTGTATTATATATAAGATAATCAAGTTTCTAAAGAAAAAAACATTAAAAGAAAGGGGAGAAAGAAATTTACATATTTAATATTGAGAACCAACAAGTTTATGGAACGTTTGAGAAAATCTATAACCAATTCTACATACACGTCGCTGCACATACTCAGCTCCAAATGTACAATCCGACGGTAGATGCTTGTATCCTAGAATAAAACAAAAATAAACATGATTTCTTATATTTGAGATGGTTACAACATCAATAGATTCAATACATTAAAGAAAAAAACAAGATTACCTCGAAGCTCGATGGAGATCTGATTCTAACCCTCACACATATTGACTTAGAATCTAGAATGTTTAAGTATTTCAAAGAAGGTGTCCTTATCTCTAAACCCCGAACATAACAATCCAGCAACGTAGGCGAGGGTTCGCAGCTAATATTTGTTACGATGGTCAAATTCAGTAACCAAGGCATTACGATATGCAACTTGGACATAAAATGATGTTCTAGTCTGAGCTCGGATAATAGAGAGCAATTTGTTAAAATCGCAAGAGTAGATTCCTCGTTGAGATTCTTCACGGGGAAAAAATGTAGAGTTTTGAGGGATGGGAGACAGATCATCGAAGGAACACTCACTTTGATCATGCCTGCGAGTTTCAAGACAACAAGTTTTTTGCAGGTAAACAAGACTGAAGGCAAACTGATATGTCCCAAAATACCAGCAACAACCTCGAGCTCGCGTAGGTTGCATAGAACATTGGTTCTAATCCACGGTCTAATATCTATGCGCATTAGAGGTGCGTATATGTGCAGGGTTTCAAGAGAATGAGNTGCATAGAACATTGGTTCTAATCCACGGTCTAATATCTATGCGCATTAGAGGTGCGTATATGTGCAGGGTTTCAAGAGAATGAGGCTGATGTGAAAGTAGAGACTCTTGTAAAAATTTTATGAATTCAGTCTTATTTCTGTGACACGGAGCCTCGTACGTGAGTCTAGACACTTTTGTCCAAAGATATCTCCAACTTTTTGAGACAAGACTCGTCCACACAATATATTTTGCTGGAACGAATGACAATATCTTTAGGAGTAAATCTTCAGGCAACTCACTGATATTTCCCATAGTTATTTAAAAAAACCTTCTCTCTTAAGTTGCTTCTTCTTTCTTCTTTCTTGACGGAAAAATAAAACAGTCTCTTGGAAAAAGAAAAAGAACCCTAGCTAGTCAAATCATGGTTTTGTTTACAATACGAATGAACACACAGAAAGTTCATAGATTAGAAAAGTAAAATCTAACCTTTTTATAAGTTATGGGTCGTAATCAAGTATACGTATCTGTCTCTGATCCCAGAGGCCACACGGTGAAAGCTGGAAACCCTAATCCAGAGATCAGAGCTGATCTTCTATCAATCTTATTAATTTAGAGTCAAAATTTTCTATCTATCTTATTAATTTAGAGTCACAATTTAATCTACCGATAAAAATTCCTTCTGACTATTTCATCTATAACTTAATATATACACTAGTCTATCTAATATATATAATATCAGATAAAATCTAGCAGAATCTTTTCTAGAACAAACCAATGACCTTATTGCTATCGAAATATCTCTCTTACTTAAAAGAGAAACATTATTTGGAAGAACTTTTACGCCCATGGTATTTGTAGATTGTCGTCATTGGAGTTTAAGGCCATACTAGATTTTGACCCGCGTTTGAAAGCACGGAAATTTTTTATGATTAAAATTTTATATAATTGAGTTTTGTCTTAATTTAAAGAATATTTTGATATAAAATCACTTCACCAAAATTTGTGGTGATGATTGTTTTTCATTAGTTTTTAGTTTCAGTTTTTATTTTTAGATTTTGGTTTTTGGTTTTTAGTTTTTAAGTTTCTACTTTTCATTTTCAGTTTTTGGTTTGGGTTTTTAATTTTTAAACCCGCTGAGTTAGTTTGAACTAATATTACCAACAAACAAATCTGAAATAATCGAACATCTAATTTAAACTGAAAAGATGATAACAAATTTTTAAAAAAAAATTTGAAATAGTTTATTTTGTAAATAAACAAAGCAAAAAAATATAACATGTGTTTTCAGCTTTTCGTTTTGGATTTTAGTTTTTAGATTTGGTTTTTGGTTTTGCTTTACATTTTTTTAATCAGTAAACTATGTAAGAAAAAAAAACAATAAATTATTTAAAAGTTACCATTGAAATTTATCAAAACTAAGTGATTTTTATTTAAAATAAAAAAATATATTAACATGTTTTAAAGTAAATGATTTAAATAAATGATTAATAATAGATAATTTTTTTTTGTTAAAAATATTAAATACCTTTTGGGTCTGAAAATAATAATTGATTTTTTGATATTTTAAGGTGAAAAGTTTATTCAATGTTTTTGGAGTTTTTTCTTAATACTAAGCCAAAAAACCAAACTATATAATTTTTCCAAAAAATAAAAGTAAGCACAAGACTATATTACATAAATAACCACTGGTTTAATTTAAGTATAATTAGTAGATTTTCATATTCCATATTTTGATGATATATATTCTTCTAGAACATTCCATATTTGTAGGAGAAAATATGTGTTTTTGGTATACACATAGATACCTGCCGTATTTTGAAGGTAGTTTACATTAATATCGTCTATTTACATTAATTGTGTTGGTTTAATTTAAATAATATGGTTCAATCAATTATATGATTTATATTATTTGTAACATTATAGAAAAGGTCCAAATTTAAATGATAACTTGTATCAGTAGATAAAAAGAATGACTCTATTTTAATAGAGTAGATTAAAACTAAGATAAAAGAAAGTTTTAGTAAAACAGATTAAAACGAACTCTTAACCATACGCAAAATTCTGTTGTTTTACATTTTTTATTTTTATAATTTGTACAAATTTAATATTGATTAACTAATAAATAAAAATCTGCAATACTACTTTAATGGTATATAATTAATGATTTGATGTACTGTTAAAAGTAAATATAATTAGTGATGTGATTTATTGTTAAGGTAATATAATTAATGAAATTATTAAAAGAATGTTATATTTTTATACTGTTATCTATGTTTCCAAACAATTCTCACTTAATTACTATCCATGTTTCCAAATAACTCTCAAATGTACTTCAACTTTAATAATATAGATAATTGTTTTAGTGTATTAACAATGATTTTTATGATTCAGTCTAACTAATACTCTATGATAATTTTTTTTTTTTTAAATTTACGCCACCATTGTTTGTGCATCTCATCAGTACTGATCAACAAATGGCTATTCGTTTTGGTGAAAAGGGCATATATCAATCTGAACTAAACCGCGGTGCCTATCCTTCCTTTTGTAATAGTGTGTATTCCTTATAGAACTAAACGAAATTTCAAAATTACTTCATGAATTTTACCCGTTGTATCTTTTCATTTTTGAAGTTTATAGAAGTGCATATTTCATACTAGACTAAACAAAAATTCTAAAATATAACATGAACTTTCAAAATCGTGCTCATATAAATATTGACGGTTAAGAGTATTACAAAAATATTAATATATCGAAACAATGTCATTTTAGATAAATTTTGAAAAAATGAAAATTTTAAAATATTGGATGAATTCTGAAAATCATGCCTATATATATTGACTAGGTGTTAACCATCCGTTAATTTTTTACGTCATTTTAAATAATTTCGTAAATTAAAATTACCTTTTAAGATATTCGAAGTCTCACACAGATAGAAGCTTAGTTTTGAAGGTAGTTGGGTTAGCAACTTAGTATAGAGAAATCTGGTTTTAATGATTACTTGTACTGAGTATATAGTCTGATTATCAGATGAAATCTCTGTCAGAGATGCATAGTGGATTCAGAGTTTGATCAGTAATTAACCCAATCTGGCTCAGGAGATACTTAAATTTGTTGAGTCTTGAGCTTAGAACCATATATATATATATATATATATATATATATATATATATATATATATATATATATATATATATATATATATATATATATATATATATTTATATGACTGATAGTAAACGAAAGAATCGAACTAATGTTTTGGTTTTATCTTTGTTCTTAATGTTTCTTTAAGAAAGGATGGGAAACTGTTTTAGTGTGGAGCTCATAGGGTTTTATATCTATTGTTGCATGGCATGTCATATGTGAAGCACTCAATTTTCTGGAAGAACCTTGCTCCTATCAACCGTAAGTTTCTGTTGAGAGTTTCTTTTATATCTTTCCAATTAACTCTTATGTGATTAATAGTGTGTGTTTGTAAGAGCAACTCCAATGGTGTTACCCACCATTGGAGTCCTTAGGATTATAATATTTGTTTTTTTTTCTTTTTGAATAGTTAAGGATTTCAAACTCAAATCTTCTTCCAATGGTGTTATTGATCATGGAATCCTTAAAAAATTTCTTTTTTTCTTGAATCCAATTACATAACAATAGAACAAGAGAGAAAAGTAGTGTACTTGAGCGAATTGGGATTGGGTGAGCTTCTTCTCGCCTCGGGCATGCATGATTGCTTTCTTCAACTTAGTAGGCACACGTTCATCTGAATTATAAAAAAAACCATACACATCATAAATACGTTGCTATAGACAAACCAATACACTTAATCAATCTATCACTGAAAAGGCTAACACAGGTACTTATTGACTCACTTCACTATAACCCAAGACTACCTCTCACTATAAATCAAGACATGAGAAAACATTATCAGCCAAGGAAGATACTACTGTGATATAGAGAAAGGTCTCAAACTTGTAATCTCTTTCTTATGCCACAAAAACTGGAATTATCTAAGCATTACTGGATTCAACACTGTTCTTAGATCTTGTTTCCACAACTTCCATTAATTACTTGAACAGATCAAAAAAGCAGAGATGTATAAAAAGAATAATGTAGCATAAGATATGAACCAAACGGTAAGCTAAGAATCTTTTGTTGGTTCTCCCCCTGTACCTGGACGGTCTGGACCATCATCCTCGTCATGATAAATGTTCTCAGCCATTTGCCATATCTGTAGTATATTGTCCTCAGCTACACTGGAAATAACCCAATCTTCACAAGGGTTCCACGAGATATCTGTGACTTTGCTGGTGTGACCACCTTGGATAAACAGCAGCTCCGGTGGGCCGTCCTCTGCATCCTCTGCTGTCTGTTCCTCGTTGATCCTGTCATAAAGACACCATCAAACACATTAACTCCTTCATGAGGAAACAAAAGTATTCTACAACCCAAGCAACACAGTGTACTGCTCAAACCTGCTAACATCCCAAATCATAAGCCTTCTACCTAGGCTTTGGACTTTCTAGGCTGATTACTCTCAACACATCCAAAACTCTGTTGCTTCTCCATTGGTTCTGCTGCTTCTCTGAAACAGGGCTACTCTGCTTCTCCTCTATTATAGTCATACTATTACTCTAGTTTTTTCGTCGTTATCAACTAAAGAAACCTAAAACCCAAATGATTTCTTGTCCCTAATCTAACAAAGAAGCCTAATCTATTTTGCACACAAGCAATACCTTAGAGAGAGAAAAAAAACAAGCTTTTCTTGATTATCACAGTGAAGAATCTATATTCTGTGAAGAAAGAGAGCAGCTTTCATGTGAAAACAACCCCAAAGGGATTAGCAGCGAATCGTGGTGGCTTTCTCTTACTCAGATGCAAGGAGGTGGCATCATCATCGGACTCGCAGGGGTGAATACAAAGGGATTAGCAGCGACTTCGTCTGGAGGTTGCTTCGCCGGAGAGAGATTCGACAATTCCCCAAATCGCCTTTCGTCTAGCCTCTGCCTTTTTTTTTTAATTTCTTTTTTCGAATGAACGTTTTTTTTTTCTCACAACCCATACCCCCAAAAACGCTGCCAGCTCACTAAGGACTTGATCCTTAAAGCCCATAACTAGGGACTCATTCTTAAGCAAATCAAAATTTATACTATTATTTAAATGCTAATGGGCTAAGGATCAATCTTAAGGACTCCACTAACAGTCCGCGTTGGACATGCTCTAACATATTAGTAACAGCGAGGTGGTGGAGCCACCGAAGGGAGCTGTTATTGGCGCCATTGACACTCATTGTGGCTCTTTAGGTGCTGAAGGTGCTAGGTGCTAGCCTGCAATGCTCAGAATGGCTGGTTCGTTAATTCATTAATTCATCTCTCTACAACTAGAGAGAACGACATTGTCAATACTACAAAGAGCAGCTTTAGCAATGGCGCAAAGAAGTGATAAGCAAACATTAGAAACAGTAAGACTTCACTCTCTGCGCAAGGAAGTGATTAGCATATCAAGCTAACAAGTATGAAGTAACAAGTTGATATGCAGCAGTGAATTTCTGTTACTTACAATTTCATTCATTACTCCAACACAAACAAGCAAAGAGTCTTAAGTGAAGGGTGAGAAGAAGTCAAAGGAATGTTCAGATCGATTCAACCTTTGAGTTTCAAGATCACAATTGTTTCACAGGTTAACAACCTTAACGGTAACTGAATCAAGATATCACCACAGGTTAACAACCTTGATGGTAGTTGGATCAAGATATCATCACAGGTTAAAATCTTAACTTTTGGTGCATTACCATTTAGCAAGAAGAAAACAAAAGGCAATTAAAGTAGAAACTTGTAACCCAAGAAAGTGTCTCCTTGAGAAAGAGCAGTTTTCTTCAAAGGTCAAATAAAGTAGCCGGGCGAAGAGAAACAACAACAAAATAGAGTCCTCAAATTAGAATACTAAAGACGAGAAAAATAAACTTATTGAGATCTTAAGTAAAACATTATAAACAGTGACTCAATTTCTGATTTTCTACACAAGGAAGTGATAAGCAGTGAATTTCTGTTACTCCAACACAAGCAAGCAATTTGTAGAACCTCTTGGCATAGAAAGCAAGTCATCCATCATCGGTTGCTTCTTGAGCAAGTCAGATGATTTTGTGATGATTTTTGCCGTTTTCAAACATAGTGCATGCTTCAGGAGATAACTTACCAGCTCCTTTTCTCCACATCTCCCGTTATATCCTCTCAACTCTAGAGTTTGAAGAGTCGAAATCAAACATGTAGGAACAGAACTAGGCGGCTTCCAGAAATCCAGGGGTGAGAATTTCTAAGACCAGAGTACAAAAACATGTTAGTGTATGCATTATGTTTTAAGATGATCAAGTTTCTGAAGAAAAACATAGTAAACACAAATTTACATTATTAATCTTGAGAACCGATAAGTTTATAGAACGTTGGAGCAAATATATTAGCAATTCTTCAAATACGTCGCTGCACATACTCAGCTCCAAATGTACAATCCGACGGTGGATGCTTGTATCCTATAATAAAACAAAAAAGAAACTTGATTGTTCATTTATGTGATGGTTACAGAAACGAAGTGGAATGAAAAATATTACCTCAGAGTTCGATGGAGATCTGATTCTAACCCTCACATAGAACATGTACAGACACCATTGAATGTTTAAGTAGTTCAAAGAAGGTGTGCTTGTCTCTAAACTCCTAATGTAATAAACCAGTAAACTAGGCCAGTCTAAGGAGACACTTTTGAAAGTAGAAGCTATATGGTGAAGAGGTAACTTTGTTTTTATTAATTTCAACTCTCTTACATTTGCTAACGTCATTACATTGCTTTATATAGAGAGAAGACTAGGTTTAGGATGTCTCTGCCAGCTCATCATTTAGGGCTTGGAATCTGTTAGCCATTGTGATTGAGTGAGCTGTAGGTGAGCTAGCTTTTGCTTTTACGGATGCCAGCAATACGTTGTTGTTTGTCGTTTGACTGACTTTGTCTTGTGTGCAGGTACTGAGAGAGGAAGGAGAGCTTGAAGCCTTGTCGTTTTGGTGTTTTGGGCTTTTGGGCCTCCACACCAAATTCGGTTTCTGGATGGGCTTGGGCTCATTTCCAATAGCCTCCCTCAAACTCTGCGTGGGGGGAAGACACACGCCGAGTTTGCCTCGAAGACATCGAAATGACTCTTGAGGTAGCGATTTGGTGAAGATATCCGCAATCTGAAACTTGTTCGAGATGTGTTTCACCTCCACAGCACCAAGCGCAACTTGTTCTCGTACGTAGTGGTGATCTCTGGTGAAGTGCTTGGTCTTGGAGTGAAAAGAGGGGTTTGCTGCGAGCATCACTGCAGATAGATTATCATACAACAAGACAGGAGTAGCTGACAGAGGGATCCCAAGTTCCTTCAAGATCAGACATAACCAGGTGAGTTCTGAAGCTGTCTCTGAGAGTGATCTGTATTCAGCCTCAGTGGAGCTTTTAGATACTGTAGGTTGCTTCTTCGAAGACCAAGAAATAAGATTAGATCCTAAGTAGGTAGCAAACCCACCTGTAGATCGACTTGTTGTAGCACAACCACCCCAGTCACTGTCACTGAAAGCCTTGACACCAAAATCAGTGTTTTTGTTGAAGGAAATTCCCATGGTCAGTGTCCCTTTGATGTAGCGTAGGATACGCTTTAATAGGTTGTAGTCACTGACAGATGGTGCATGCATTTTTTGACAGACAAAATTCACAGCAAACTGGATATCGGGTCTTGTAAGGGTTAGGTATTGAAGTTTACCTGCTAGGCTTCGAAAATAGGTAGGGTTTGGAAAAACTTCATCTTCTTTCTCTGGTTTTCTGTTGATATCAAGAGGAAGAGGTGTAGGCATAGGAGCACAGTCTGACATAGAGGCCACAGCTAGGAGATCCTCTGCATATTTCTGTTGAGATAGAAATAGACCAGTCGCATGACACTGCACCTGAATTCCGAGAAAGTAGCTTAAGTGACCCAAGTCTTTCATTCTGAAGTTTTTGTTGAGAGCTTTCAGTAGGTCTTGTAGAAGTGTAGAGCTGTTTCCAGTGATAAGCATGTCATCTACGTATAGCAGAAGAATAATGATGTTTTCTCCTTTTATGCAGACAAACATCGAGGGATCATGAAGACTGCAGGTGAAGCCGAATTCAAGCAAGAAGGTACTGAACTTATCGAACCAGGCTCACGGAGCCTGCTTGAGCCCGTAGATGGCTTTGCGGAGCAAGCAGACATGATTGGGAAAAGCTTTGCTCACAAATCCTGCAGGTTGCTTCATGTACACTGTTTCATGGAGATCCCCGTGTAGAAAGGCGTTTTTAACATCAAATTGTCTGATGTCCCAATGCAGAACCGTAGCCATGTGAAGAACATCTCTTATCGTAGAAGTCCTGACTACTGGACTGAAGGTATCAAGGTAGTCTATTCCTTCAGATTGCTCATATCCTTTAGCAACTAGTCGTGATCTTCTGCAGTTTAGGGTGCCATCTGCATTTAGCTTAGTTCTGAAAACCCATTTGCAACCCAAAACGTGCATCCCTTCTTTGTAGGGTACAAGAACCCAAGTACCGGTTTCTGAGCAGTTTTTAATTTCTTCTATCATCGGTTCATGCCATCGCTTATCTTTCAATGCTTCTGTGACTGTCTTAGGTTCAGGATGTGCAACCTTAGACGTCATAAGAACATAGCGTGGGTTGGGTTTTCTTATACCAGCCTTGGATCGTGTAGTCATCGGATGAGTAGATGTTGATGCAGATTCGGTTTCTGTTGCAGGCACAGGAACAGACTCAGGATTATCAAGGATTTGCTGAGAAGGAGAGTTAGAACCAGTTTCGGCAGATGCAGTAACTGACGGTGAGGAGCTAGCTAATCTTCCCAACGGGGGAAAGTCTCGAGCAGTAAATAAAGGTAGTGTTTGTACTGACTCAATAATTGAGGGTTCTGAAGGTTCGGTAGGTTGAGGTTTCTCTGGTAGTGCAGGGTTAGGAGGGGGGAAGCTTTTATGCCACGCAGTCATCAAGGGAGTGGTGGTTTGCTGGAGAAGATGGCGGTATTTATCAGCAAAGGGATAGTTGGCTTCATCAAAAACGACATGGCGAGAGATGTAAACTCTTCCAGTTGGAGGGAAGAGGCATTGATATCCTTTGTAGAGGGCATTGTAACCCAAGAACACGCAAGGTAAGGAGCGTGGATCAAACTTATTTGCCGTGTAGTCTCGCAGGGTAGGATAACAAGCACAGCCAAAAGCTCTGAGAGCTGAGTAATCCGGTGTTTTGCCATGCAATTTTTGATGAGGACTGATGTCTGGAGATTCTAGGGTAGAGGAGGGTAGCAGACTGATGAGATAATTCGCCGTGAAGAATGCCTCAACCCAGTATTGTTGCGGAAGCTTGCTATCAAAGAGCATGGAGAGAGCAAGCTCAGTTATATGTCTGTGTTTCCTCTCAGCAGTTCCATTTTGCTGAGGGGTGTGAGGACACGAGACATGCTGAGCAATGCC